TCTAAGAGATCCAGTCTGACGTGTATGGCATGTTAACTCTGTGTCAGCTGCAGATGCTGGACTGATATACTTCTCTATTTGTGGAGTGCTTGCAATGCTGTAAGCTACTGCCAACTATTCAGAATCTACAACTACATCGTGCTGTTGTTCGCAGTCTAATCGTATTTGAAAAAGCAAGATGTGCAGATGAACTGGTGTCTACGGCAGTTACGTCCTCAAGCGTTGAGGTCTGCTGATTCATGGCTGGGTTGCATGTAGCTTTCTATTAGTGTAAGGAGATGCTAAATGTGCAGCATATAGGCTTGTTAGCTGTGTGTACTCCATGGGGGTTTGTTGTGCGCCTGCTTGTCAAGCTCTTTTCTTTTTCTTTTCTCGTAGGAGCTCCAGCAGCCTTGCAGGGTTTTAGTTGTGCAACGTTCGCAGCGCTGCCAGAGTAGCTCTAATTAAGCCAGGCACGAGTTTCTTTTAACCCCTCGTGTTTAAGATAAAAAAGATGCAGGAAGAGGAGGAGGAGGAGGAGGAGGAGAAGGAAGCCGCATGCTGCTGAAATATAAATGGGCTGCACATCTTTGTTTGTTGTGAGTTTTACCGCAACAAAGCAAACAAAATGGTGGACCCCACTAATGGCAACAGTTAATCCCGGATTCCTAATTGGTTAACAAAGGCATCCTGTAATTCTCCTCATCATGTGATTATCCTCCAATCCATGTGGGCAGATTAGGCAGTTGTCTTGTCACTCATGGAGCGTCATATACAGTGGTCGGCTGCTTCCGTTTACAGTATAAAAATAGCACGACCTCCTTCACCTGACAAGCAGACAGCAGAAACTAGGTCCTTCACCTCTTTCAGCCCTGTAAGCAGCTGTCTCGTCTCTTTTGTAATGCTCCAGGAAAAGAAAAAGAGGCAGCTCTCCTGATTGTGCAGTTTCGCAGCATGCTACAATGCATTATGAATTATTCGGCTTTGTTTTCCCCCGTCGTTCCATTATCCTTCTAGCTAAGCCTCTTCATTTCCTCCTCGGACGGCTGTGCCACTGTGCATTTCCCTCCCTGTAATTTATCCATCTGCAGGAATGGAGTGTGTGTGTGTGTATTTGTGTGTGTATGTGTGTATGTGTGTGTGTGTGTGTACAGAGTAATCGGAAACGTTGTGTTTAAAGGGTGATGATTGCTCTGGCCCTCGTGGTTTACAAGCAGACAAGGTAATGATGGCTGCTACTTTCTCAGCTAGCTCCAGTCAATCCCCCTTAAGTGTGTGTGTGTGTGTGTGTGTGTGTGTGTGCGCGTTAGTGGTAGGAAATGGATTTAAGAGCTGTCATGGCTTACACGCAGTACGTTGGGGTATTGCTGGATATCTTCACGAGCAACACAGTTTGTGAATGATTTTTTTTGTCTGCTGACTAAAATGACAAAAATCTCAAGCTGATATTTTATCCGCTGAAGCGAGCTAGCTAACGTTAGCTCCATGAATTTGTTTGAAAACACTGTCTCTGCCGTAGTTGTTCATAATGTCCTCCTTGGTTTTGGATGTATCTCTTACCAGGAAGTAAAGGTTATTGCTGTGAGTAGAAGAGGTGTGAATCACAAGTTTAATCATGTATATTATATCGATTATTTAGATAACAACACGATACTATCTCACACAATATCCAACACAATACATTACATTTATATAAACTTACCAGATAAAAACTGGTTTAATCTATTCCTTACATTTATACTCTTTTTGGAAAGGCCAAACAAAATTCACCACTCTCCAAACTCTTCAAACACGCTTCCTCAGATTGTGGAGAATTTAAAGCTTGGGTCTCTCATATTATCGGGGATCCTTAAGCGGCGTTAGTTCAGCATATAATCTGACATCTCATACTAATTCGTGATGCCCTTTGGTGATTTGAAATTGGCATGAAAAATCAGTCGGCCACATTGCCAGTAGCTATCTTCTCAACTGTCCTTGAACAAATAGACGCACATGATGCCTGCTACATCTCATGCCAATCATTGTCTTTGTCAGTCCAGCTGTGTGTGGATGTGCCACAATGTATTCATAGCATCTATGGGGAACTATGTGATGGGCATGTTCATTTATATGTAAATCATGTCTTTGTATTAACCTTGTAGTGTGAAACTGTGTGACGTACAGTATGAAACTATAACAACACGGCCAGTCTCACTTTGTGTGAGTTGCATATCCACCCGCACAAAGACGTTTATGTTCAACGCCGCTGTTCGTTGCATTATTCTCCGAAACGCCAGAGAGTGTACAAACAGAATGTACTGTGAAGAAGCAAGAAGACAACGAGTGTAGCCGGCAAAAAATGCCATAAACCAACCTGCTCAATGCCGAGCAGGGATTGTAATTATCTGTAAACTCATATCTCATTTTCATGGACTCTTTTTATTGCCTTTATACAAGCCCTGTAAACAAAGAAGTCAAGTATTAAATGCATTGTAAAGAAGTGAAGGTGAAAATCCTGTAAACAATTTAATTTGGCTGCAAAATTTCTAAAACATCTTAAAATGAATTTGCCTTCTTTGTAAAATCCTCAGACATGCTAACAGGGCTTTTGTCAGTGGACTATTTGTGACAGTCATGTCTGACAAGCTCTGATGTTTTTACACGACACTTTACGTTAACGCTCAGTTCAGTGTGATCAACAACCCGGGTGTATATGGAAATGTATGTATTTCTTCTATAATTTCACTTGAAACTGCTGGTATCATTTTCCACTAAAGTTCGCCATTAAATGAGAAAATACTTTTCATTTGTCAAGTATTTAATTCACAAAAGAGCATACAACAAAAGAGCATACAATAGACAACGATAGATAGATTTGCCATGTGGTAATTTCATATGCATTATTTATTTTGTTGCGTTAGCAGAAAACATGTTGTATCGTGATATACATCATTATCGAGATACTAAATGACTTCTGTGGATCAGAGGTAGAGCGTGGCGTCTTCCGCTCTGTGGTGTGTGAATGTGCATGAATGTGAATTAGTTTAGGGTCCTGATGAATGGGTGAATGGTGAGTTGTCGGCAGACTATGAAGGAACTGTACAAACGACAAGTCCAAGAAGTACTTTGCGATAGAAGATTTATGTCGCCCAGCCCCACTAACAAGAACAAAGCAAACAGCGAAGTCAAAACAAGTTTTGTGGAAGGATTTAGTTTTTCTTTTTTCCGTCTTGTGACCCCCTTAGATTCATGTTGCGACCTGGCGCGTCCTGTCCCTGATGGCGAACCACTCGCTGGAATCCGGTCTCACAGCTGCTGGTGGGAGCTACATGCGAGAATCAGCGGCTATGTGGGGCTTCGAAATCTGTGGCTTTTTTCACGGATCTTCGGCCTCAGAACAACACTCGCACACATTCATGTACTCGCTCACACATCGACCCGCTGTGGCCCTAATCCCGGCACGTTATCAGTGAGCATCAGTGTGTGAAGTCACGTGGACGGGTTTGAGTCGGGCGGCTGAGCCCTCAAACTCTGAGCGGCTGAGATCCGCTGATGAGAGCATCTCCGCTGGACGCATGTCATCCTTTCACACCCTGACCCACCACCGCCTAGCAGCCCACATTAGCTCAGGAGCTGTTTGGTGGAGAGAGAGAGGAGCGGCTATTTTTAGCGCTTCATGTAGGCAAGAGACTCTAGTTAGGAGACCAGTCAGAAGTCATATGTAGTCACAATTCTCAGCTTTTACAGATCTGACTTGTGCATGGAACAAAAATGACGTGTGCCATTCGTTTTATCCTCCAGAAGGCAAAAGAGACGCTTTGTTTCGTGCTCGAGAGACCCTGGATAGAGGACAGTTTTTGTTAATCCGCGAATGTTTCAGCTTGTGCTATTGAACATCGTACTATGTGATGGCACAAGCCGGAAAATGAGCCTGTCTCTGTATCGACTCATCGTTTTGCATCAGTTTTCTGGAACATCCCTCACTTTGTGCGCTCCACAAAGTCCAGCAATGTGAAACTGTCACCCTGTACATGCAGGCCAGTTCTCAGTGTTGACTGTCTCATGCAAGTGTTGATCCGTGACCCGTGACTTGCCGTTCTATAATGCGGCTGTATATAACATAGTACTCTGTCAAACCGTCATCAAAGTGCCAACAGACAAACTGAAACTGCATTAAGAGACAATTCAAGAGACAAAAGCTCCAAACGCTCTTTTTGGAGGAAAGCGCGACTGCTGAAATGAAAGGGAATATTTCAGACAAAAAGTAAAGTGAACATCAGCATTGAGATGAAAGAGGAGCGAAGCAGATGTGCGTTATTGAGCCGCTGCTGAATCGTGGCTTTGTTTTTTGGAACTGGGTGAGTTTGCCACTTGGTCGTTAGTCTGCACTGAGAGACTGTATTGTTACTTCTGGACCGGTGCCTAAATTGAATTACTGCTTGTTAGATCAATAGAGCTGATACTTTTAGCCACTGACTGTATTTTCTCAATGTCGAGGTTTCTCTTTGGGTTTTTCAATATTTGCTCGCACCAAATCCACTTTAATATATCACACAGTTTGTTTTATACACAGTATGTTTGTATATGATGTAGATATTTGAGTCTCTGTGGACACAGTTTTATATTTCCACCCCTGCATTCTGAATCTTTACACTGTATTTGCACTATACCGACGCTGAGGAAAAGCCTTGCACAATCCAAAATAAGTCTGATATAGTTATTTTGGACAACAGATAACGCCTGTCGGGGACATAAAGCCTCATTCACCAACAGTTCTGAAGAAGAAATTTCGCCATGGTAGCAACCTGTCAATCACAAGGTAGCCCCGCCCCAAAAACATACCCTTCTTTATGGTCTATTTGACTCTAAAGGACTGGAATGGAATCATTTACTAAATGAACATCATGCTGTGTTGAAGAAGACTTGAAGCTAGAGATTGAGACCATAAACTCATATTTACAATGTTTACTGAGGTAATAAATCAAGAGAGAAGTAGAGTCATTTTCTCATAGACTTCTATACAACCAGAGGAGTCGCCCCCTGATGGTCAGTAGAGAGAATGCAGAGCTTAAAGCACTTCTGCATTGGCTTCACCTTTCAGAACCGGACGTTACCGCCTGGTTTTCCATCACAAGCATGTTGTTAACTCGAGTATGTGCAGTTCTATGTTTCGGACACCAGAAAGGAAAGCAGAAGGAAGCAGAACGCAATAAGCGACCAGCAGGAAGCGGATCCAAATGGTCGTCTTCGTTGTTTACGTGCAGCACCTGAAGCTCTGCTGTTCTTTCATTTGTAGAAATGCGTCCTGCCGAAGCCTGACTTCCTGCTTGCTGTCAAACAGTCTGTGCTTGATTGAACCCAGGCAGTCAAAGGTTGGCCTCTCTCCTGTATATTTCTCTGCTCTCATATAGGACAGAAGGAGCTTCCTCTGTTCCAGCCCGACAAGACAGTGGTAATGTAGGTCAACAGGTATAGGCTTCCATTTGCAGCTAAAGACAAGTGGGGTGGAAGAGGAGGCAGTGGGATGTAAGCATCATACAGAGAGAATGGATAGTGGAGGGGGATGAGAAAGAGAGGCACATGATTGGTCCACAGACTGTAGTGGTGGTCTGATTAATGTTTCACAAGTATCACTGCTACTGTTAGACTTATCTGTCCTCTCCCATGTGTGGGCTAATGCTGGAGATGTGAGTCACACTGGCCTGTGTTGTTAAGATAACTCCCAGTAATGTGTTTTTTTCCCCAACACAATTAACCAGCAATACAATTAACCAACATTGCGTTTCATTTCGAGAGAATGAAACCATTTAATTTATGAGACTGGAGGCCGAACAGCAATCTTGCCAGGTTTGTTTACGTAGGTTGCAGTCGTGCTGTGACGTAGAGCAGATACAGATGTCTTTACAGATGTGTCTTTCTGCTGAAATACATTGTTTTTAGTTTTACCGCAAGGTTTTAAAGTTCTAAACCTTGTGTGTAAATCATTTTTTGGTAAGGTTTCACATCAAGTGGTTGATATATTTGGTAAGCAGAAGTGCAATAAGTCAGATACTGCACATTGGCTATTGTTGCACAATCAGGATGACGATGTCCTGATTCACTCGCTTGATTGCATTATCATTATCATTATCATTAACATTATCTCCTCATTATTCCCCTCTTTGCTCATGTTCTTTATCGCTCCACAAATACATGGTCACATGACCCTTTGCTCTTTAAAATGAGGTCACAACGGGGGCCGCTCCGCTGCATGTGTGTGGCTTTCTGGGGATTAGAAGACGTGGTGTGAACTGGATCGTCCTCTGCCCAGGCTGCATCATCTGTCAGAGCTGACGTTTGTCTTGTATCCTTGGTTGAAATGTGAGGGATGGATACGCTGTCAGAGCCGTGTTATCCGGCTCATAAACAGCAGGCCTTGCCCCAGGTAATACGGAGGCATGACCTAGTGTAGCAGTCCCACACATAAAACCTGTCCTACATTTTGTGGGCTTACGTCAAAGGTACAATATAAGGGACTAGGAGCAGTGTGCACTTATAGTGGGCAATCAGGGGGGGTCCACTTAAGTCCACGCACCGATCACGTCAAATGGTCAAATCAAGTAAAATTCCTTGCATGTGTAACATACTTGGCAATAAACCGTTTCTGATTCTGAAATGACAGATAATTGTCTTATGATTTTAGAGACCTCCGAAAGTTTGCTATTGAGGCTTTCAAGGGGTCTGAAGTGCCCCCCCCGCCCCCATACTTCGCACACCGATTCAGAGCATTAACACAGAAACAACTTGCTAAGTAAAGGTATAGTGGAGTAATATCTCTTTGTGTGTTATCCGAGCTTGTTTTGTTGACGTATGCTTTTGTTGCGTGTGAGCGTGCCCTATTGTTCGCTCACTGCTAACTCCATTATCTCCGTTAGACGGTCACTGTGACCTCGCTGGTGAAAGGTCGGCCAAATAGACACAGACACATCGAGCCGTCAAGCTACCGTGAGGGATTTACAGTGCTGACAAAAAAATCATTTATCTTTGTTTAGTTTAGTCAATGAGGCTTACAGCGAAATCACCACGTCATCATCATCGTCATCGCAGGTTGTAGTTGCTTAGTTTCCCAATCACCTTAGATAAGAGGGTGAAAGCGGCACGGCTGGCGTTTTCCACGCATTCTTCCCTGTAAATACATATCAGCGCTTCCTCATCCACACACTCATGGGACATGCTGGGTCGTTGACTTCCAGCAGTTTTGAGCTGGAGAACATTCATACACAACAACACGTCCCAGGCGTAAAAGCGTCTGGCTGCTCAAATCCTTAACCTACATCTTTTACATCTCAGCCTTAACCATTTCCCCATAACACCAGGAGGGAAGGCTTGCCGAGCTATCAATAATGAACGATTAAGCGGAGGGTTTAACGTGCTGGTGTAGATAATGGGGCGGAAAGAAGGAGGTTTTCAAAGAACAGAGTGCTTTCAGCCCGGAAAAACCTCCAGCAGGAAGAAGAGAGTTTTTAATGGTCAGAGGGCTGGGGGTTACTTTTCAAGCATCATCCCTCACATGCTTAATGACTAATGAAAAATTGATGATTATCATTTTGTATCCCCAAAAAAATTATTTATGTGTGATGATTTATTTATGTGACACGTTAGGACAAAGGTGCACATTAAGGAATGTATTCACAAAGAAGTTGCAAAGAAGTGCATCTTCTCCTCCTTATGGAGACTGGAATATCTCTTCTTCTTCGTTGGTAGTGCAGGTTTCCCTGCTGTGGGATGCCCCTTGTGATACAAACCCAGTAAACGGGGATTTTGTAATTGCCAGGTAAAAATTGCCTTCGTATAGATTGAAACAACACTAAATTTGGTTGGAAATTAAAGTTCTTTACACTTCAGTCGTTGTTTCAACTTTATTGTAATGACTTAAATTCAGCGTGTCACCTGCCTAATGTTGAGATAAAGTCATTTAAATGTGCATATATGAGTCCTGCACCTCTGTGGGATGGGGGGCCAAATGTCTGCCAATGACAGAGAAATAAAATAAATGAATGAATGAAAGAAATATAATGCCATCAATCATAAAAAAGAAGAAGTTGAATTTCTTTGATAATTTATTTCACAGAAATTGGAAAACAAAGGAATCTACATATCCAACATATTTACAAGTGCTGACAAGTATTACCAATGTTGAAAAAACAAATTGAGGATCCTTGTTCTAAACTATTTGCATATTTACAACCTCTTCTTCGCAGCGTAGAATTTAATGCTTTTTTTACAGGATCTTGTCACAATTTTAATTTTCAATTTTGCTTTTTTCTGACAGAAGCGTTCTCCACACATGATGTGTTCAATGGGCCGTCGAAAAAGTGGTAAAATCCGATGATAATGTGAGCTTTTACAGCGGCTGGCTTTGATAAACGGTTTATTTTTGGCGATTGCTAATAGAAAACATGCTTTTCAATCCCCCCGACTGGTTTTGCGGTTCAGAGGGAACTTATTCTCAGCAGTTCCTATAAACTTTGAGATATGTATGTCATCCTCCAGGTGTGAGCGCTTCACTGGGTTTGTGACTCTCACGTACAGTAGCCCAACTGTTGAGCTCAGGAGTATAGTATACTGTAGCTCATAGTATACTATACTCATTACTCTCAACAGCAAATCAGCAATAGTGATACAACTTCACCTTTGCACTGTGAGTAAATATGTACAGTGCAATAAGAGGGAAGGCTCTATAGCCGTTCATTACACATTATGGACACTGCTGTCCAGCGGCTGTGGCTCAATAGCTGACCCTCACCAAAATGCACACACACACACTCACACACACACTCACACTCACTCAGACGCTAACATAAACACATAGTCACAGAGCGCCCTGCAGCGTTGCCAGCCATTCTCTTTATGTCTGACTGCTTCTCATTGAAACGGCAAGTCTATGAAAAGACTGCTCTCAGTTTAAAAAGATAAAAAGAAGCAACATTTGTCTCTGCAGTCTGAATGTGGATGGCGTCTGCAGACAGACGTTTGCCCCGGGGCACCGAAACTAATACCATGTGGCAGGACCTTCTTTTCACATGCTCGATAGTGTTGATAGCAGGACTGAGGAATGGTTGTAGTGCTCGTTTCTTTATCAGGGTTGAGGTACTGCTGTGCAGAATAGAAACATGACTTTATCTGCTATTGCCTGTTGGCTTAAGGCACACAGTACGGTGTATTGTTTTACATGCTGTGTGTGAACGACCACTAGAAACACATCACTATTCTTTCCACTGTGGAGGTTGTTGTGTCTGTTGTGTCTTTGTGTTATCGGTCCACATCTCAAACTCTGCAAATTCTTTCCGATTGAATGTGTTGGAAAGCTGCATTTTTCAAAGTCCGGGCTCGGACCCAGGAGGTGGGATGCAGGGAAACAATGCATCACGTCAGACTTTAATAAAACTTGATCTTTCACCAATAGATGCCTTTAGCTGTCTGATGTTTCAGCTAAATGTTGGCAATAGATAACTACTATTTGTTTTGAAGTATTGAAAGTCTCTTTGACATTTTTGAGTGTATGCACATGCAGGACTGAGTTATAGACACATAAACACTTATTTGTCTTTCCCCCTAACCCAGAACAAGCTGGAGGGAAAACATTTTCCATCTAGAAATGCCTCAGGAGGAACGGGAGGAAAAGCGTGTCTGGGCTAATCTAATAGGTGTCCAGCAGAAGACCGGGACCAGGCTCGGTGGCGGAGAAAGAATGGTCAGCCATTAGAAGAAATCCCGGTCTCTCAATTGATACGTGAAAGCGTTAGCATCTCCTTTGTGCCTCGCAAGGTTTCCTCGCAAGGCTGAAATACCAAAACACCGTGAATCCTCCAGTGAGATTTCATCTAAGATCCACATAAAGCTCATTGAACGGAGGAGACGCTATCAGATGCTCAGTTTCGGCGCGCTTTAGTTTGCCTTTAATACGCCTTTTAAAGTCGGGATGCACAGCTGCACACGTGTGCACGCGGCCTATTGTCAGACAGCAGACACACACTCTTCATTCCTTGGGACTGCAGAGATCTCATTTAGATAACTCCCCTGATCTCTCGGTACCTCCCAGAGTCGCCCTCTCCTGCTGAACTCATCCATTATGTCGCCACGCGAGGAGATAGCAACAGCTTCAGCTGATCCTTTCAGCCGATACTGAAAGATCAGCGAGAGACCTGAAGACGGAGTCTGGACCGGATATCTCAAATTCTCCATGATTTTGATGTTGCTACACCGCCCGGACAATAACAGCCTGTTCTTTGCACTAAAATACTTTGCAGGAAATTACCATTTATCCCGCTAACAAGCAGCCGTCTCGTGACAGTTATGATGTAGCCGCCCATTAGCCATGTGGAGGGTGCTGTAGTGATGCTGTTAAAGAGTGGGCCACTTAGCCAAATCAGCCTCAACTGCCGTAATTCTAGTTGTCTGCTTCTGTATTTAGTCTGCAGCTGCCCCTGCAGCTCCCCATCTCCAGAGCACTTACATTACCCCTCTGCATGTGTGTTTGTGCCGGGATGAGACCCTTGCAGGTGGCTCGTGTATTTATATCCAGTACTTGTGGAGGGGTGTGTCCGCTGCTCAAGTCTTTTTAACCATCAAACACATTCTCTCTCACCATGATGCTGAAGCAGCTTCGTGGGCAAGTGGGCTGATATGAAAGCTTCACAAGATACAGAAGTCAGCCACAGGCAACCCTCCAGTTATCGGATAATAAAAATTATTTCTGGTTACACGCCCAACCATCTGACTTCTGTGTGGAAGGATGTCACACGTCCTGGATCGGAGAATGTAATCCTCACAGTGAAAGATGAAAGCTCTGTCTCCTCTAGGTTTTATGGCATTCTGGGATACTCCAGAAATCCTGCAATATTCATGTAAGGTCTTTACTAAACTACGCCATAGGCTCTGTCATCAACAACATAGTGTGTTGTTGCTCACAAGTCATTCCTGATTGTTATAAAAATACACAAACGGTCTTCTCGGTCTGAGCAGAGGATCCTTCCTGTAAGATCCAGATGTTTCGATGTTTTCATGTCACTGAAGAAGTTGTTTTCTACCTTGAATTCCTCGTACATTTCTCAGCTTATTTTCTGCTATTTGTGGAGGAAAGACGATCTCTCGTGTGAACCTTCATAGTGGTTCATTCTAAAACACGCAACACCCAATTGGAACTTCTGTGGACTTGAAGTTTATCACAAGTGTGTATTTTGAATATTTCATACAATATGCGCTTTGGGATAAATGAACCAATGTAAGAGCTGCGTAAATTCTATGAATCTGTGGAACCGGGTTTCTGCAGAAAAAAAGCTTCACTGCATTTTAAGGAATACCTCACCCTCAAAATGACCATTTATACATCAATCACTCACCTGCAATTCTTGAAGGTATAGACCATTCACGTTTTTGCGTCGTCCACCGTAGTTCTCCTACATGCTTTGTACGCGGGAGAAGTTTCATTTGGTTGCAATCTCTAACCTCACCACTAGATGCCGCCAAAAACATAACAAAACAACTATATTTACCTTCTTTGTCAGGTTTCATTCATAAAAGCTGATAAATGTGCAGCTATATCAACTTCTTGCTTTCATGAGTGCTTTAACAGGAACTGGTAACATTGTTAAACCATCAGAGCACTCACACTGATTGGCTACATAGAAGGTCAGAAGTCCTTTTATTTTAGTCTCTCAAAATAAATGTTCAATGCTTTATTAAATTGCTTCATTGTATTAGGCCCTTGCAGAGGTGTAATTTCCCATGCACTCTCCAGAACACACACTCTCCCTCTGTGACAGCCTCGCACTGCTTGTGTATGTGTGTGTGTGTGTGTGTGTGTGTGTGTGTGTGTGTTTGCCCTCACCACAGTGCCCGTCCCTGGCTGCCACAGCTGAATGTCCCCTCAGCGTCGGCAAATGGCCAGACTCTGTCACAGCCGCTGACTGGACCAGCTGTTTCTTTCTCTTTCTTCCATCTTATCTCCTCCGTCACACTATCTGTCTTCCTCCCTGTGAAAGAGGCAGTGACAGGGCGCCTGGTGGTCCAGCACTTGACACCAAAGTTGATATCCGCACATGCTGGCATCAGGGGGAGACAGTTTTTAGTGTGTGTGTGTGTGTGTGTTTCACAGGGCCGGGACACAAACACCGTCCTGTGGGTTGTGGGAACACAAAGGACACTTACACTCTCTGTTGTTTTTTGTGGTGCTGGGGACAGACCGACAAGGAGGACAGTGAAGGTCAGAGGGAGCTCAGTTTGGGACGCGGCTGGTCAAACCCAGTTAGACAAACAATGAAAGTGAAATGTCACCGGTCCGGGCTTAAGCTGTCTGGCCGTGCCTTGGTCCAGGCTGCTGGCGTAGGCACTTTTTTGTGCCCTGTGCATCTCACATGGGGAGTTATCAGAGCGTGCAGGCAGGGAGAGTCATACTGTAGCAGCAGCAGGCTAGTAGTAGTAGAAGCAGCTCGCTGGGGGCTGCAGAGGGTCCGGGATCTGACCCGATTTGTCAGTTCAATAACTTCACTGAAGTGTCGCTCCTCCAGGGAATCACTAGCTTCTTATTCTGCAATCATGGTTTCGGGCAGGGGACTCGCTGTTTCATGTTTTATTGAAGGAAAATTGAGAGGCATGATGGATTGTGCAATTTGACATCAGAGTGCACCGTCTGATTGTCCTGGACTGACTCGCCATGGCAGACCCAGAGCACTTTGATTGGTTGAAAGAAACCGTCAGTTTTTTGCCAGGTAAGAGCGGTGGTTTAATGAGCTTGGCGTATGAGTTGAAATAAATATTGAAGAATGTTCAGATGAGATATATTCATCACCAGGGCCGTAATTTAACACGTAGCAGCCTCCTGATCGTCCCAGGTCTTCAAACAGGATGTGAATGAGGGATGTTACAAACTCAGCATGTTGTAAACACAGTGCGGATGATAAAAAGCGTCTTCTTCAGCTGAAGTTGTTTACTGCTCCACAGATACTTCTACGGGGAATGGGGGGGTGAAATACATGTCTGTGTAAACAGTTTTTTGAGCCAATTAAATCATCTGAAGGAACAAGGTCTGGGGAGAACAAGTGAATGCAAATGGGACAGAATTGAACAGCACACAACAAAGCACAAGGACAAAGGAGGCGAGGGATAACAGAACCCAAACACTATAGACGAGGAGCACATTTTGCCTCATTTTGTGCATTTTTTCTGTCACTCAAACCAAGTCAAGCTGCGTTCAGGAACACAAGAAAAGGGATAACTCCTTGAACAAACAAAATGTACCATCAGGTTTTGATTTTGTGAAACATTTGACCTTTTGATTAAATTAGGAATTCCTCCTCTTTCCCTGTAGCGGCAAACGAATCAGAGAACTTTGCCTCTCCCTCAACTTGTTTATCAGAGGGAACTTGTGTCCTATTCATGTTGCATTTTGAATTATGTATGAAATGTATTTGCATGTTTGCGCATGAGTGAATGCTCTGCATCTCAATAACCAAATTAAGCCTCCAAATTACAATCTAAAGGATGCAAAAGTGATGTGGTGTTTTGGAAAACACATGAATACGTCATGCTGCCGCAGAGCGTTAGCATGCGCTCAGGGACCAAAAATAGACACGGTGTATATACACCAACAAATAGAGTCGCTGTTTTTGCTGTAGTGTGAGGCAGGTTTCCAGTGAAAGTGTGTGTGTGTGTGTGTGTGTGTGTGTGTTGAGGTGATGTACAAAAGGGGAAATGCCTGTGGAGGCTCAGATGGTGACAGATGGTTTGAAGACAAATCAGCCTGGGAGTCGGGATCTTTGCCCTGGGACTAGAAACCCCTTTAAGTATGTTTGTGCCATTGCATTAGTGTGTTTATGTGTCTATATGTTGCTGAGCATCTCTGTGTTTTGTGTGTGCAGTTTGTGTACACGTACATGGGCTTATGTAACGCATGCTTTTACCTATTCAAAGGCAAGTATTAATGTGGCTGAACAATATGTGTTTTTAGTTAGCTTCACTCAGCTCTAGAGCCGTGGTTCACGACAGAATACACACTCGCAGGGAGACACACATGCAGTCGCAGCTCACTCCGGTCTCACACACCTGGAATAACGGCGTTTCATGAGCTCTCCCATATAGACCACCGGGTGCAATTTGTCATCGGAGTGACATCGTTGCTCTTTGGCAGAATAACGTCGCAGGCATTAGTCTGCCAGTTCACAAAGTGCTTTTACGATCTGCCTGTAAATTTCAGCTCAAGAGGTGCTTATGTATGGCAGCCGGGAGGAGTTGTGCAGCAAGTCGTTCCTCTGGCCGCCGCATGGAGGGAACTCCCGGAGGCCTCTACACTTTAAAGCCCATCTCAGTCCAAAGTTCCCACTGTTGTGAGCGGGGAGCTGCTAAAAGCTCTGCAGGAGCATAAGTTTGTGCCCGGGCGTGCATCTCCATCTGCTGTATTCGGCGGTGTGCATGTGTTGTTGTGTCTCTTAGCAGTTGAGCCAGGCCTAGACGACTTAAGCCCCGCTAGCCTCAAATAATCTCATTCTCGAGACATACCATCTAGGTCAGGGGTTTCCATCTTCACTGCAGCTGCTTACAGACCTCAGAGAGGGCGAACGATGGTGTCCCAAAAACATTTTTTATGCCTGTCATGAAATGAAAGTCTAATAAATCTCCCATCTACCCAATTAACAGGAAACCACGCCTCCTTTAGTTGCCGTTGCAGCGCGGCACCAAACGGTAAACAGTAATCTACCACTCAGAGGTTTTAGACTTCCTCTACACGTCTAATCTGGTTCTTAGTTGGATGTTGCATTATGGGATGTGTTTTTGTTTGTACTTTGCTCCTAGGTAACAAGGGCCTCAGCTACCGCAATGTGTCAGCTGATGATTCAGCGCAAAAGGCTGCGATCAGGCCCAGTTTAGTCACCGCGTGTTTCAGTGCGTGCGACTGCAGACGGCAACTTTGCAGTCGATATTTACAAAATATTTGCGCTTCGCCTTCTGTCAGACTCTTCCTCCTCCCAGGGGCATGTTGTTCAGCTCCATCCTTGACGTTGTCTTTATCGACTTTGTTTTGGGAATGTCATTTCTAATCCGCAGAACGTCAGCGTGTCACAGTTTTTCATCTCGCAGGAGCCACTCGGTGTACATGCTGTGAAAATACTAACAAGGTCAGAAACCTCGGGTCGATTTGTGGAGGTTTAGTTGGACATCGGCCAAAAGTGGAAAGGGTTGCTGAGATGTCTGCGTTGCATTAAAGATGTGTGCCTTAGAAAAGATTAGAGCTGAGGATTGTTAAGCTTTTGCTCTTGTTGGTTATCTAAGGTTGACGCCTGTGGAGAGTCTGTCATGTGTTTCTGTGAATCAGACCATGTGATGGACCGGGACAAAGCAATCATGCGTTTATTTAATGACCAAACCAGTGGTTTCACATGTTTGAGCCAAATCATTTTTATTTGCTTATATCTTTCATAAGAGCCAGTCAGTCCCCAAAACATGCAGACATTTTTTTTTTCGTTTTTCTAATATTTTTTCCTGGATTTTTATTCAAATTTTCAAAATGTTCATTTTAAAACTCAATGCTTTACAAAACACACATCTGCATTTATACATAAAATATTCTCAAAGAGATAGTTGTACAAGTTATCTTTTAATATTATGGTCAATAATACGTGGAAGTATAGTAAATACTTTGCACACTTGGATTTGTTCATGATCATTTAAAAAGTATTTGCTTTGACACTTAAAAAATAGCTTGTTTTCTCTACTGTCTAAACGTAGGCTGACGGTGGAAAGCAGAGTTAAGTAAACAAGCCTGTGGCACACGGTTTCTCTCTGTGACTTAACACGTTTTTGGTCCAGCGTTGAGCTCTCTGAGGGCAGCAGTGTGCTGCACACTGTAATAATCTCTTGTGCTCTGATTGTGCCGCTGTATGCATCACAAAGGCCTTAAGCCTTCTCGGCTTCCGTCCTTTCTCCGTGACTCTTTACATTGTTGTCTCTTCTCTTTCCGTTGTTTCCTCCACGCGTTTATTTCTCTATCTCTCTGTTCTCTTCTTCCGCCCCCACCACCCCTCCCTTCTCTCCCATCATTCTCTCCATCTTTCCTGTTTGAGGCTACTCATTTGGTCTGTCTGTCTCTCCTGCAGGGCAGCAAAGGGAGATGATTGAGAGAGATTTCTGTGGTTACATTTGTTTTGCTTTTTCTGTTTGAAGTTGCATTTAGTTTCACTCTTTGGTGACTTCTGTCATTGCATCTGCAGAAGGTACTACCAAGTCAAAGCACTTAATCCCTTTCACAATTAAACTTCATTCACACTTTTTAGCAAATAACAGCAGGCCGCCCCTCCATCTCTCTAATAGTTTAACCTATTAGCAACATTTCTCTCCACCTCTGTAATAATTTAGTCAGCTGCTGTGCAGGTTAGCAGAAGGCTAAGCTAAACTATTAGCAACATTTTCTCTCCATCGCTTATATGCTCCACCGATATCGAAGTTCGCTAGAACCTCAAATCCCACAATCACAGTTTATCATCTCAAATGTTCGCGACAGTGATCCTAGCACCCACACAGCAAGATGACATTTTCCATTTGTAGCTTTAGCTCTCTACTCTGAGGTGATTCATGTTTGCCTCCAGTCTCTCCTTCGTAAGAGCGTCTGTAAAATCCACACTTCTCGGCTAAATGAGAGTTCTTCTTTTGTTTACTTACACGTTCTCTACGGTAGGCCTACAAAGACAGCCGGTGCAAATGAAAAATGTATACCGGTACATATATTTCTTTCATATGAACACAGGCACCATACACTTGTATTTCCTTATCACAGTCTGGCCCGTCCTCAAGTGGCTCTGCTGAGACCTTTTTTTATGTGTTCACTTAAATAAAGGCTTCTTGGTTATTTTGTGCTCAATGCATATGTACCACACACATATGTAAATAAACTAATCGAATGTTTGGTATGGGCCTGGCACAGCGGACAGTATCTGTGTGGGGGGGTTGGATGACTTTGTTTTTCTCTGAGGACAATGCCTCCTAAGGGAATAACACAATGGACTCCATTCACAGCCTCACCAACAACATCATGACATTTTGTTCCTGTGATTGGACATCTTGCATCCGCCCAAATACCACAGTGGGATCTCCACACAGTTCCTCTTGGTGGTGGAGTAAAAGCACAGCTGCCGTGGCTGCGTGTCTACATCACTATCAAACCTCACATAAAGAAAACCCCAACCCTGACTTGGCATCAGTTTTCTTCTTTTTCTCTTCGCTTCAGTGCATCCGATTTTCTTCTTCTGATGTTTATATTATGTAACCAAAGTGGACACTTGGTGTTTCTGGCATGTTTGGACATTCTTGCTTGTTCTTTCCTTGTTTGTGTCCGGCGGCATTAGAGGGCTGAGATTAGCATGCTGACCAGCAGAGTATATCATATCACAGCTATAAAACATTGTTGTTACAGCCAATCAGTCTGACTTATGTGGGGATGACAAGCAAAACCTAATTGATTGTTATGCTTCAGATGTTTTAATAACCAGGGTGATTATCAGCTCAGTTATCTGTATTATTATTAATGTGATATAGTTTACTGTTGTATAATTAGTACCTGTATGTTTCTTACCAGACCATCTGTAAGGCTCAGTACTAGATTGAAAGGCTGGTGAGAAACAGTTGGTGAGATATTGAAAGATCCTCAGGCATATTTAGACAATTTAAGATGTTGCTGCACATCAAATCTCTACAAATTATTCTTAATTTATACTCAAGATAAACACGTTTCAAGGGAGATTTTTCATGTTTGCTCGTTAACTTAAACAGGAGGAAACTAAATTTTTCTTCATATTTTTTCATATTGTTTCACATTTTTTCACATTTTTAAATCGTACACACATATATATATATATATATATATATATATATATATATATATATATATATCCATAACTTATGGAAAGATCATTAATCAAAACCCCTTGAACAGTAGCCTACGTGCTAATTAGATGTCAAAGCTTTCATACGTATCTACTTGTGCTCTCGTGTGTGCAACAAAACGTTTGATGCGTGCCTTATGTTATATGGTATTTTTAGAGAGAAAGTGCACGTGATGCAAACTATATTAATAACACATTCGCCTGCATCCACTCGACCTGATGTCATGTCACACCTTCCGTATGCAGTTAGATATTAAATGCATTCAAGGCTGTAGGGATGAACCCTCCCAAAATTCACAGACTTGCACTTCAAAATATTACTCCGCTATTACAGCCAATGTGTAGTCATGGTTTTCCTCTCTGTATTTATGTAATAAAGTCAATCAATCAATGCTGCAGTTAAAATATTTGTCTGTCTTTTGTGGTTCACCAGGTTTGCCAGGGTTTTCCAGCATGTTTGGGAAGAAGAAGAAACGGCTGGAGATCTCAGCTCCGTCAAACTTTGAGCACCGGGTCCACACGGGCTTCGACCCGCGGGAGCAGAAGTTCACCGGGTTGCCGCAGCAATGGCAGAGCCTCCTGGCGGACACTGCCAACCGCCCCAAGCCCATGGTGGACCCCTCCTACATCACCCCCATCCAGTTGGCGCCAATGAAGGTAGAGTGTGAATGGACAGAGGGCGTCAAGCCTGAGCACTGGGGACAAATCGGTATCATTTTCTGTGACTCTGTTGTTCTTCATCCTCCTGTTTCTCCCCCACTCTCCCCCACACTCCCTGCTCTATCTGTCTATAGGAACTTTACATTCCTTTTTCCTCCCACCTCTGTTCCTTTTACTTTTCTATCTTGCTATGTTTCACTTCACTGTCGCTGTACCTTCACCGCTCCTTCCTCCACTTTCTATACTTTGTTGTCTTTCTTCTGAGGAAAATTTAGACCGTTCTCCAGTGCCATCTGGCCACTTCACACTATTCAAATTGCCCTAGTATTTGAAATTTTAGTCATAGCATTTACAATATATCGCTTTAAACCTGCATTAAGCAATTTTATGATGTTGAAGTAACATTGAAAACTCACTGAGTATTAAAGCCAGACCATATAACTTGTAACAGAAGAAAATATCACAGCCTTCCTTTTACAAATTTAATGTTGAATTCAGAAGCAATAAAATAAACTGTTGCTCAATTCGGTGCTTTCAGGGGCGGAGCTGCTGCAGTTTAGCTCGGTCTGATACTTTGACCAGTAGCCTTTTGTGGCTTATGTTGGTTTCAGTGGCTTTATTACAAAACCAAAACAAGAAGTAGCAAACGTTATATATATATCCACATTTTAACAGTCAACTGAAACAGTTCTGTTGCCTCTAGCGAGACTTAATTGTAATTCCTCTACAGCATTATACTATTATAACCATCGAGAGGCGAAGTCCCTCCCCTTCCTGTGTCCCCCCTGGGGCCTTATTTTGTAAAAAATTGGTGTGTTTTATCTTGTGACTCTTTTTATGAACCGGGAAGTGAAATAAGCGACACCAGTTGTTTGTGTGAGTACACAAAACACACAGGCATCATAGCTTCAGAGAGAGAGATGTCATATACGTGTCTTTTGGGTGTTAAGTCATCCTAATAACATATTTTCATAGTCTTATACTTCAATAGTCTTTCTTGACGTGCAAAATTATATTTTAAATTGACAAACGTGTGTAATTCATGACACAATTCAAACAAGATAAAATAATGATTTGTCTCTCGCCGTGTACATATTTCTTTCCGAAATAAGGTCAGATGGCGGCTTTACCTTCTCCTTCGAAGAAAGACAAAAAGCCGCACAAAATGCCACAAAAAATAGAGACTTGCATAATTTTTTGAGGTGTTAAAATCAAACAATAGCCCAGAGAATATGACCTACTGTAGAGATTCATGACGTTTACGTTTGCTAACATATTAGCCATAAACTCTTGATAAACCCATTGGCTTTCTGCCCCCTGCTGGTCAACAATTGCTCAATGCAGCTTTAAAGACAAACACCTCGTTTGTCTTCCATTAGATGATGATGTCACAATCTCAGAAACCCTCGTGCAAACCTTCTTACCTCCCCATGTGACTGTGATTGCGTGTCTCCCCTTGTCTCTGAACCTTCTGAGTGTCTCCTCTGATGTGTTGTTGTTCATTGGTTCTTCTTAACATATCACATCGATTTGATCAACTGATTATAGTCATCCACACACCAAACTGTTTGATAAAATAACAGTATTTCTCTGCACCTTTCTCTGGGTTGTAGCAGAACATGTGATTTGTTTCGAGGCTCTTCTCTTGCACACTGGAGGTATTGGAGGTTGTATTAGGCCTAATGGGTGTTCACAGAGGCACTGCTTAAGATGTGGTGTTTTATATCTTCCATTGTGCTGTCTGTGGTCCCATCATACTGCATGTGTGAACCACTGCCCTTCAGCTTCGAGAACCAGGAGCCTCTCCTGTGTGTGTTACAACACCTGCTTACACCATTTTTGTCGGCCTTGGTTAATTCTTAAAGAACACTTGCCTCATAAACACGCCACTTTTTAACTTGATGTTGAAAGTTGACATTAAAACACTGCAACATAAATCTAAAACAGTAAGACTAAAAGCACCATTGTGGGCATTAATCATCAAGTGAACTTGTATATTAGTCCCTGAGGAACCACTTACAGTAGAAATACACGATCAGACATAAGTCCTGTAAGAGAGAACAGCAATATGCCACAGGAGATATCTCTGAAGAGGGGGAAACAAGAAAATAATTCTCTTGCTCTCTTCACAGATATCTCCCAAGAAAGTCCGGTCTTCCGAAACGCCATTGCCCAAAGTATGACTTCCTCTTCCCTTCTGTTTTTAACCCCCCCCCCCCCCCCTTCCTTTTTTCAATCTTTTCTTCTGTTGGTCGCTCTCACACAGCCACAACTCCGTTGTTTTTTGTTTCCGCATCTCTCCTCCGCTGCCTGATGCCATGCATTCAGGTGGAGGTGGTGTGTCAGCAGGAGCAGGGAGAAACGCTGAGAATGACTCCACACATGACATAACTACATCGCTCTGCCAAGTCTCTTCTTAGGCCTCATCTCCACTCTCCTTTCGTCTCATTTCGCATGAGCCTCCCCAGAAATGACAAGATTAACTGCAGCGGCATGTTCCCTTGGTTCTCCTCTCTTTTGCTATGGAGCGCCTTTGATAATGATGATGATAATCGTGATGATGATGATGGTGATGATGATGGGTGCTGAGATGTGAAGTGCATGTTGCCATGACAGCTGATTCTGCTCTGCTGTAGGCCACTCTGTGGAATTTAGGTCAGAAAGGGTCCGCATGTGTTAGAAGAACCCCTGCTGATCCACCTCTTGATCCGACCCAAACCAGACCAGCTCTCCTATCCTCCTCTCTCCTGCCCTGTCCTGTCCTCTTCTCTCCTCTCTCCTTTCTCCTGCCCTGTCCTGTCCTCTTCTCTCCTCTCTCCTGTCCCGTCCTGTCCTTTCCTGTCCTCTCCTCTCTCCTCCTCTCTCCTGTCCTCTTCTCTCCTCTCTCATCCTCTCCTCCTCTCTCCCACCCTGTCCTCTCCTCCTGTCTCCTTTCCTCTCCTTTCCTCTCCTTTCCTCTCCTTTCCTCTCCTCCCCTACCCTCCTCTCTCCTTTCCTCTCCTGTCCTCTCTTCCCCTCTGCTCTTCTCCTCTCTCCTTTCCTGTCCTGTCCTTCTCTCCTCTCCTCTTCTCTCCTCCTCTCTCCTGTCCTGTCCTGTCCTTCTCTCCTCTCCTCTTCTCTCCTCCTCTCTCCTGTCCTGTCCTGTCCTCCTTTCTCCTCTCCTCTCCCCCTTTATCCTGTCCTGTATTGTCCTATCCTGTCATGGCCTCTCCTCCTCTCTCCTAGCCTGTTCTCACGCTTCTCCTCCTCTCCTCCTCTTTCCTATCTCCTCTCCTGTCCTCTCAATCATGATCACTCAAATATATCAAACATGATGTAGTTTCTCAAAGAGTTGTAAAAACAGGATTTGGTCTGGGTGCTTTGCAAGCTCTAAACCTTTTCTTCCAAATAAAAAGAAGTTTTTATAAATGTACGTACATCTGAAATCTTTGTACGCAAAACAATATTGTCTAAGCACAACAGTCACTCAAAACAAGTTTTTAAGGTAAAATTCATATTTTTTTCTCCCGCTGTTTTGGCTGTTTGTCAACGCCCAAGAAAGTTGCAAGATACTTTGCCATCAGTCTTTGGTTTGTTATTTTCCTCAATATCAAAGTTGTTGCTACAGACAACTTTTCACAGATTGCCAAATGTCAGGATACTTTAAAGAGGAAAAAAGAACTGATGAAACCCAATAACTGGACACAAAATTCTTCATGTGTAAATGAAACAGGTGTTTGAGACTGTGGTTACTACTTGGATACAGGGGTGGGAATCACAAACATAAGATCTCTGAACTAGATTAAAATCACTGTATTTATACTGTATCACAGTATTTAGTTGCTTCTCATGTGTGTGTGTGTGTGTGTGTGTGAAACCCTGACTCCCAAGGTGGGCTGGGTTATTTATAGTGTCTCATCGATGGCCTGATATCCTTCCCCCCTGGTTGCCCTGACACTTGATTGACATGAGGCTTCCTCTGCTTGGCAGACTCCTCCAGCTCTGTCGTGTGTGTGTTTCTTTGTGTGTGTGTGTGTGTGTGTGTCTGTGCACATGCCAGGTGAGCATGGATGAAGCAGCCTCCAGTCTGGCAGACCTCCAGTGCTTTCCTCGCCAAACAGCACAGAGGGACAGAATACAGTAAAAGGTCAACATGGCGTGTGTGCATGTTTGTCTCTCTCTGCGTGCGTGAACATGTATTCTCCGAGTGTGTGTATGCGTGTGTGTGTGTGCGGTTTAGAGAGGCTGGCGTGGTCATGATGCTGAAATAACTACTACCCCTGCCCTCTGGCTTGTGCGCTCATCGTTTATTCACAAGGCTTGTAGCCTCGTTGTCAGACTGCTCATCTCAGCTGAGCATTAGTGTTGCTTAAAGCCTTGGCTCTCATCTCCTTTCTCTCCCCTCCTTCCTCCTCCACCAGCCCTCAGCACGCATGCTAATCCAAAAGTATAGGCTAACACCATGCCCTAACAGCATTTCCATGTTTAAAACATTGTGCTCGTAAAGCTTCTGCAGTCTGACTACCTCCGTTAGAAACGTCTTCATTTCGATGTTGCAATTCTTGTTTTGACGTTGACGTTCATGTGTGTGTGTGTGTGTGTATGTGGGCGGGCTGTCGTGTGACGCAAGGTTACATGTGTGTTAATGTGATGCATTCATTAACGCCGGCAGGGGCAGAGCCGTGGCTATTATTAATGGCAGTCTCATGTTGCACCTTGACTTTGACACCCTCAAATTGCCGACTCCCATGGAGCCGAGGAGGTAATTTACCGCGATGGTGTGTGTATGTGTGTGTGTGTGTGTTTGTTAATGGGTATGTGTAAGTACAGTGTGTCTTGGCATGTATGTGTGTGTTTTTCTGTAGGTGTGTGCTTAGGCCTGCTAATGCTAATCTCCTTGTTTTCCTCTGAGCCAGTTCTTGTAAGTGAGAAACAGAGCGACCTGTGTAGAAAAAGGTGACACATGCAAAAGCAAAGAAGTTTAGTGGGAGCAGGTTCTTCTCTCGGTGGTTTGTTGCCTCACTTCACAGGATACCAGTTATTGTGTCATTAGCATTCAGATGTGGGGCTTTTGGAAGGTGCAGAGAAACTTACAACGAGATCCAAAAACTAAGAAGATTTATTCCCTAAATAACAAATACTGCAGTCAATTAGCAGTGTTTAGAGAATGGGTTAGAGCCGTAATAACCTGACAATAACTGTGACAAAATAAGGTGCTCAAGAAAGCAGCAGCACGCCGTGCCTGCATTGAATTAATAACATCGTTGTTATAATGGGATTCTGTTAAACACTAGCAGTAAAGTTTATATCCTTTACACAAGGTCAGGGCAACGGTAGACTTGGCCAACTCACACAGAAAGACAGTAATATACTGAGTGAAGAAGTTGTAGCCAATGAAGTTATAGTCCACCTGAACACATGTATATTGGTGTCAGTGTGCAGCCAAATGAGTAAAACAATAAAAAGAGAAATGCTCATTTACCGTATCGCGTGTTTTATTCAAAGGCAATTTAAATTCTTTGTCTTCATCCCAGGGTTATCAAACAGCCCCCGAGACATGGACGTAGACATCAGCATCAGTAAGCCAGTTAGAGAGAGAAACATAATTTATAAGGATTTAAAGACGGACCCATCATGAGAGCAACTCAAAGTTTATTCTTCTTAATCCCACAGTAGCTGTAGGAGAAAGATGAATCTGGAGGTATCACAGGAATAATTTATGATCATCGTGTTTTAAAGGTGGATATTCATCTCTAATACCTCCCTCAAATATCATATTCCTCTCCTGGATGAAGATCAAATCCCCCCTCCCTTCGGTCTTTCACAGCTAATACAGCACTGGCTGCTTTTTGTTTTCTAAAAATATAATGAACATCATTTTCATCTTGAATTATATGCCGTTTGACACTTACAGTAGGGCTGTGTAATAATGTCAATTTCAGCCTGACGGCATGTGGTTGGGAAGTTAATGTGATAGTAGTGTAATGGCCTCGAGTTGATCCGCAGGTTTCCCTCAAGCGAATCAGATAAGATCAGTGAGGAATGGAGACATTCGAAGGCAGCTGTGACAAAATCACATGTGACAATAACAGTATAGACAGAAAGGATACCAGCAAATTAAAGCTGCCTTTAGATAATATCTTTAAAGTAGTATCCAGGTTTCTGATTCTCAGCATGGACTGTATATGTGGACGTAGTCGTCATGATGTCACCCTTTGGTTTGTTTACTGCAGTTTTGAAGCCTCGAGTTCTGCATTTTGGCCGTCGCCATCTTGGTTTCTTTTTGGCTGTCGCCAAACTAGAATTATTTTTGCCGCCAGAGGAGTCGCCCCCTGTTGTTTAAGGTACTTCAGCATTGGCTTCACTTTTCAGAACCGGAGGGGAAGGTGGCATAAAGGATGATGTTGCTTGTGCTCGGGGATAAATCAGAGTTTTGAGTCAGGAGGGTGTTGTTTGCTGCTGCAGGCGCTGCAGGAAGGGGACCATGTGGCGAGTGAGAGTACAGCGTGCATGGTGTGAACTTCACAACATCTACGCATGTACTTGTTGAGGTCCATGCATATGAATCGGAAATGTGCATGATGATACTTTCTGCAATAAAAAGGTACAAATCCTCCCCTGGATGGACACATATAGACACATAAATATGTGATTGAGCGGTGCATTCCAGGAGTTATCGCAATCCCTCCAGCCTGCCTTCTCTTCTCCTGTTTGTGATTTCTTGCATTTCCCCAAATGGCTGCTGACAACCTCCAGAGTACATGCCTAAACTTCTTGCATTCAGCAGCAGGTTACATGTACTGTAGGTAGTGTAGGTGGAGAGCGCTCGCTGATATTTTGGGTAGCTGAACATCTCTGTGCTGTCAAGCCCACTATAGCTGCACTGAAAATATCTCATCCTTACATCACACTGGAGGAAGAAATAATTCAACAAAATGCGCCCAGAATGGTGAGGAACACTGCCAGCAGGCCCGGCTGTTATTTATAAATGTGTCGTGTTGATTTAGGGTTTAGGGTTGATTTGTTCATGTTCTGTTTGAAGAACAGTACATGGTTGCAGATTTACACTTTTTATGTTGCGGCTTTGGGGAAAATAACAGTTATGCTGTCAGATATCATGAAATACAGTCTTTTTTTTCCAACTGTAATTATCCACAAATGTCATATTTAAGTGACTTAAATGACACTAAATCTTCAT